CCAACTTTTCACACCAGGTGGACCACAAGAGTACTTTGACATGGAACCTATGGGCCGCACCCTGTCTTGTCTCGTGGGGGAAGGCAAAATTTGATGCCCCTCTCCATCCCTTGTCCTGCCTTCCTAAAGCTGACTAAGCAAGGTGCTGGAATTTGGGAAGGAGACAAAGAGCACTGGCAGGGTCCTAGAGTCTGCCTATCTCCTTCCCAATGCTGGGGACGCACAAGCTAGGCTTTGGGAAGGAGGTGGGAGGACTCTAGGACCTCATCAGAGCTCTCACTCTTCCTTCCCAAAGCCCAGCACCTTGCTTACCCAGCTTTGGGAAAGTAATGCAAGGGCTTAGGGGAACATCAAATGTTGACAAGGGCTACCAAAAAAGGGGGCAGAAGGCTTTGAAGGCTTCATGTCGCCCTCATTGGACCACCCTGCTCTAGAAAGTGGACTAAACCTTAAAGTGTCATATAATCTTTACTTTCCTGTTAACTAGCACTGAATGACTATCCTTTTCATCTCTGCCTTGTTCCCACTCACCTTCTTTCTCTCTGTTTATTTTTCAGGTACCTCTCTCTTCCTCCTTCACAGTGGGCTACCATGGGATGATCACTCTTGTGAGAGGCCTGAAATGGTCACTTGTAGTACTGGGCCTTTAAAAATTGGGTCATGGACTGCTTGCAGCTATGGGCTACAAGCTTCCCGTCCCAATCTAAAGGGCAGAAGCTTGGGAGAATCATGAAGCTGCCTTGAGTGGTGCTTCCAGGCGTTCAAAGGCAATGTTTCCCTGCGAAATAATACGGCATGTGGCTTGGCTTGCTTGCACAGGTTACCTGGGGTAGAATGCATGTTTTGTTCACTTTGCTGCTTGTAGCCTCTTGCTTTGGGGAGTGGACCCCTCAAATTTTAAAACAAGCCTTGCAGCAGAGTAGGGCAACAATATAAAGGCTGATCTAGTTTAGGGTGGACACTTCCCCCCCCAAAAGAGGCCTTGTGCCTTTATAACAGGGATAAATTCAACAGGCTGATTTTCTGTGCGTAGCTATGAATCATGGGGAAAGCTACATCTGTTGAATTACAGTTTCAATATACACTTTTTAAGATAATGAAACACAGGTGTTTTTTAAATTAAAAAGAAATGCAAGATCATAAATTGTGGAAGTTAAACTATGGTGAAACTGTAAAAAAAACCAAAGGTGCTGAGAGTGCTGCTGTGCTGTTTTTTAAATGATAAATATAGTTTTGCCATATTATCACACCATAAAAGCTAGTTAGGAGGACTTGCTTTCAGGTTTTATTTTTTATTTTTTACAAAAGCACATTAACTAAAAGCTTATTAAGAAATAAACAGTCAAGAGGATAAATGGGACTAAGCTGGCTTATGCATTAATGAAGCAAAATCAGATGTCAGATCATTAATTAAATTCTACAAATCATTGTGTCACCATCGCCGACAAAGGCTATGAGCTCAATATCAAGGTGAAAATTAAACTGCATGGCTGCATTTTCATATTAAAACTCCAACTCATCCAGTCTCTCAAGCTAACAAGGTTAAAAGTAGCATCATCAAGATTTTAGCCAACAGATGGAATGTACCCATTAAAAAGTTTTTTTTGGGGGGGAGCCTGTGTTTTCCAAAATGTTTTCTCAAATATTAATTTTAAACGTATTCATTTCAATTTTTCCAACAAATTCCTATTTGCATCAAAACAGCAGCAACAACCCACCCCTGCTTAAAAAGAGCCAATGATTGATTGATTGATTGATTGATTGGCATCTGCCTGTCTCAGAAGACAATGGAAGAGTGTGCCTTTGGGAGTAAAGTCAAACTGTTGGAAGGTTACAGTGCCTGCTGTGGCTGAAGAGACCAATATGGGAGAGACATGCAGCTGGGGATGAAGTGTGTATGGGGGTCCTAGGTTGCCCAGACAACAAGACCCCTCTCTTGGCCCCACTGATGTAGTCCAAAGGAAAGCAGAGCGATGTGTTTGGCACCAGGTTGGCTACAGGAGTTGCTGGAAGGAGACATACAAGGCTTGTCTTTATGGGAAGATGGTATTTGCATCCCACTATGTCAGTTTGGGTGAGGGAGTGGCTCTGAGGTGGTCTGGCTCTTAGCGGCAGTCTGAGGATTTTCTACCTACCTGTGCAGATTATTCCTGCCCATACCTGTGATTTTAGTTTGGTGCCAGTACTTTTTTGTTATATTTTAATAAATAGAACTTCTTCTTTTTTAACCAATTCCTGTTAATGAGTCTTTGTTTTGGGTGTGAGACAAAGATTCAACAAAGCTAAAAGCTCCCAATAAGCTGGACTAAAAATAAAATTCAAAGAACACTTGAAGGGAAAAAGAATCTCTGGCCACAAGCAAGCTAATAAATTCACAGTTGGTGTTTTGCTTTCATTTTCTGAAGCTGAAGCTCAATTTTTTGGGTGGGTCAGGGTTAAAGCAGCATGTGGGAGATAGGACTTTTAAGTTACAAATTACATTTTGTTGATGATGATGCCCACAGAGTGAAATACAATGAAGACATTTTAGGAATTCAGGAATATATAACCAGTGTGCAAGTAACATCTTCCTGAGGATATCCAGCTTCATTCTGATCAGTTCCTATTTTGTTTTGTTTTCCTTTCCTATTTATGAAACTCCATTAACTGCAGCACTCAACACCCCCTCCAGATTTTTGTGGTCCTACAAGTAATTCTGAGCTCCAGGTGGACTCTGCCACATAATGAAGGACCGTTGTGAGAAACCTTTCCCTTTCAAAAGAAACCCATCCATTGGGCACAGGCTCTGGCAGCTTGGGGAGAAGGAAGAGAAACTGCCAAGCTTTTTATCAGTGCACATCAGAAGCCCATTGAAACACTTAAATGAGGAGGAAGAGGACAGCAGGGGCAGCATCAAAACTGGCAAATATTCCTGGTCCATGTACTCCCTATCCCCCTTCTTTGTTCCACCTTTTCTTGATACATATATTTTTACAAAACACCAATGAGGACAAATCCAGAATGGGATGATGTGACCCCAATTGCTCTCCTATGCATGATGGAGAGCTGACTTTGACACCAAGAGTGGTCCTTAGTTCCTCTTGCCTATATGACATGATCGACCCACCTCTGAGACTATTGGCTAACTGTGCAGGAGCATAATATTCACATTGGTCTTACACAATCAAAAGCAAAGCTATGCTCAGTAGAGAATTATTTCTTCAGCCTGAGGATCACATTCTCATCTGGGCAACATTCTGAGGGCCACATGTCAGTACTTGGCAGGGCCAGAAGCAAATGTGGGTGGAGCAATTAATCTAGACCTCACCTTTGTACATGTTTGTGAGAGGACTGGGAATGAAGATTGAAAAAGCATCGGACTGAAAAAGCCTAGGACCCTCGTACCTACGGGACCGCCTCTCCTGGTATGTCCCACGGAGGACCTTACGGTCTTCAAATCTTGGAGACCCACAGGGAGGATCTAGGGCCACAGGGAGGTTAGGCTGGCCTCAACCAGAGCCAGGGCTTTTTCGGCCATGGCCCCGATCTAATGGAACGCTCTGTCACAAGAGACTAGGGCCCTGCTGGACTTGACATCATTCCGCAGGGACTGCAAGACAGAGCTGTTCCACCAGGCCTTTGGCCAAGGCACAGTCTGACCCCCTCCTTCGGTAATCCTCACAGAACTCTAGCCCAATGGTTGCCATTAATTTGATTTTGAATTGATTTTAGAATGAATTGATTTTACAGTGCATTTCAATTGATTGATTGTGATTTTATGTGAACTGTGTTGCTTTTATTGTTGTTGGCCACTCTGAGCCCGGCTTCGGCTGGGGAGGGCAGGATATAAATAAAATAATATTATTATTATTATTATTATTATTATTATTATTATCATTTAGCAGATGGAGACATAGCTAGACAGTAGCACAGCCAGATGTTATCCTGGGGTGCCTACTCTGGACATTTGGAATAATTGTTACATACATAATTGGCAGACAGAGAATTGGAAGCTCATCTTATTTCTTTTTCTTTAGTTACTTTTCTATCTTACTTCTCTATGATTTTCCTTTTTCATCAGCTCTGTTTATACTTACATTTTATTTTGTAATTTGAAGTTCTCTATCTTGGGTTAAAGAAGATACACACAGGAAAGCGATGGATTAAAGATGAAGGGCCTAGTTGGAGGGACAGGGCAGAGAGGATCTCCCAGGGTTGGAGGCTGGGGAAAGAGGGGGAGCTCCCAGATGAGAGCTGGGGGTGTTCACTCTTCTGTGTGTGGAATAAGGGTTAAGATTTAATTTCAATAGACAGCTTTGTAATTTCCCTTTCTTCTTCTCTTCTTTCTCTTCTTTCTCTTCTTTTTTATTTCCTTCCTTTTCTTATTCTTGTTTTTTTCTATTTTCCTTTTCTAGATAAGTGTGATTTTTGTTGCATTTTATGCTGAAAATTCAAAATTATTTTTTTTTAAACGATTTTACCTGTGTACAGTTGGCTACTCGCTACATAACACATAGCCCTCTGTATCCTCCATCCAGACAAAAAAGAAATATTTTCAGAGTTTCCAGCATGAGTTTCTAGCAGAGTTTTGACTTATCGTGTGAAGAAGGATCAGGTGGTATAGCCTAGGAAGAGTTCCAAGGGCCAGACAGAGAAGTGCCACATTGAACTCCCCTACTCTGTTTTAATGTAACATGTCAAACTGGCTTCTCAATATGGCAGGAAAGTAAGCTATAGAAGTCAGCAGAAGTGGCTTGATCATGGCTTACTCTGACATAGCCTATGATGTGTTCTATTGGCAAATAGTTTCTTCATGGTTCCCTGCTTGCTGGATCAGATTTATTTTGCTTAATTTGACCAATGACCAATTTGGTTGCTGCTATTGATAAAAACAGTATCATTTTTTGAAGAGTACATAATGCATTCTTAAAATAAAACTTGATTTCCCATGCTGTTTTGACAAATTCCAAGCTTTTTCTATAAGTTGGCATTGATTCCAACTTATCATAGCATCTAAAAATTGGAAGTAGTTTTGTGTGTGTGCACGTGCCTGTGTATGCATACATACACACACACACACACACACACACACACACACATGCAAACACTCTATAGAACTATATATATACTAGCATAGTTATGTATAAATTTATACTCTTACTAACAGAAAACTCAACTCTCCAAGTGTTAATCTATATATAACCAAATCCCCCATCCAATGTCCAAGAGGGAGATATCATTAGTCTGGGCGGAACTCAAAGGTTTCAAAGTACAAAAACTGCACTCCTTTAAAAAAATAAATTCATGTTCAATGGGCTTGAAGTCCTTGCCAACTGTTGAAGGAAAACAAATGGAAAATCAGGAAGGGGGGATGTAATAGAGTACATGGAAAAGGGCAGGGTTGACTGGCTGGAACCCTGTACAGGAGCACTTTGCACTGTAACATTTTGTTGAAGGTCTCATTTGTAAAAAAGATAATATGAAGTGCATGGGGGGGTTCTGATGGATTTATTATATTTTATGTGTATACCAATTTTTTTAATCAGCCAGCCAGCCAGCCAGCCAGCCAGCCAGCCACCCATAGAGTCTTACATGGAACACAGAAGATATCTGTAGTACTAACATTTCATTTGTGTTTATGAAATAAGCCTGGCAAATGCCTATCTTAGCAGGTCAACTAATTGGCTGGGGGGTTACAAAAATAATGCTATTGCCCCGTTTAATTTTGACATCAGCACAAATAACCTAACTTTTCATTCTCTCCTAATGCAATTTATCTGAGGGACCTGGATAAAATGTATCTTTGGGGGGAAAATTATAGTTTGAGTCATGTCTGGAAGGTGGCGTCTACACCAACGTTACTGCAATAAAGTGTTATTATGTTACCAACTTCAAAAGATTTTCATGATGGAGCAATGTAACACAAATGGAGTACAACGGAGTGTGCTTCTACTTTTTCAAACTCCGAATCAAGACAGAAATAGGTGGTGCAAATTTGAAAAAGAGATATAAGAAAATGAGGGGGAAATACTTTACTCCTGTTCTCCATATATATCAGAGGTTAGGAGCCTTAGCCTGGGATCCAAATGTGGCCCTCAAGGATTCTAGGTCTGGTCTGAGGGACCAGGCCACACACACCATCAAACTTGCTCTGCACCCCCCTCATGTAATTTTTCCTGGTTGGAATGTGTCCATGAACAATGATAAGTCCTCTTGCCTGCCTTTATGAAGCGTATCACCAATTTTAGAAATATATATATAAAAAAATTAAAATTGTCCAGTGGCTCCTTAGAGACCAACTAAGTTTGTTCTTGTAGTTGTTAACAGTCGTCAACAGGTTTACCGCACCTATCAGCCAATCATCCATTCCCACCACCCTTCTGAATAATACCCCTCCCCACCCTCTCACTGTATTCAGTGGTACCTTGAGTTAAGTACTTAATTCATTCCGGAGGTCCGTACTTAACCTGAAACTGTTCTTAACCTGAAGCACCACTTTAGCTAATGGGGCCTCCTGCTGCTGCTGTGCCGCCGGAGCACGATTTCTGTTCTCATCCTGAAGCAAAGTTCTTAACCTGAAGCACTATTTCTGGGTTAGCGGAGTCTGTAACCTGAAGCGTATGTAACCCGAGGTACTACTGTATAAGGGTCTGGTGACATCTGTTTCAGTGTATCTGAAGAAGTGTGCATGCACACGAAAGCTCAAACCAAGAACAAACTTGGTTGGTCTCTAAGGTGCTACTGAACAATTATTTATTATATATACCATATATTTCTACTGCATCAGACCAACACGGCTACCTACCTGAATCTAGACCCATTTTAGAGTGGGAGTGACACGCACACACAACCCTTCTTAGGAGAACCCTTGTGTGGTTATCCCAAGGAAGGGGTTGTGTTGAGGCATGTGGGCTTCTGTGCGCAAAGGGAATCGGCAGTAGTAAGACTTTCTAAGCTAGATCTGCCCCAACTTCATCCTATCTTTTCTTACCTTCCTTCCTATTTAGTGTGGGCTTTGTCACCTTTAATGGGGCTAAGTAAGATTTCTTTTTTGGGGGGGAACCCATGATGGACCTTTAGGACTCCTAGAAGGCTATTATTTAATTCCTTTGCTACTTTTTGCTTTTATGTTCCACATTTGAAAATATTTTGGAACCAAGCAAACCTTTAAATGTGGCTAGCACAGAAATCCCTGACTCTACTTGTCTGAAATTCAGCAGGATTAATATTGCTTGTGAGGCAGGGGCTACTATATCTGCAGGTTTCATGAACCTAGGTGGAAAAAACACCCCCCAAGTGTTAGTTTTCAACAACAAAAAAGTCAATGGGAGGACTAAAGCTTTGGTATTCCAAATACTTGGGTTCTGAGGTGACCCCACCCCAAAAGAGATCCAATCTGAATACGGGCCTCATCCAAAGCACTGAAGTGGGCCATGACGTGCTTCACATAGCACTTCTAACAGTTTTCTAGTGTATGAGAGATCAGGATTTGTTTTTTCATTTATGATGAAGCTTTAAATTCAGACCCATTTCCCAATTCTCTGTCACATTGAGACAGTTAGTAAAACATTAGTTTTTCACTTTCATTCCCAGCCCATATGTTTTCAAGATGCACTGGGGACACATCCTTTAAAGGGCAGACTCTGGAGATGCCTTCAAATATTATCAGTAATGATAATCAACAGCGCCTTTGCAGAGGCTTGTGGGATTTTCAGCAATCAGCAGCAATTTTTCTATTTTTGCGATTACTTAGTACACAACTCATGCACAAAATGCAGTTTCCAAGCCTTTTCCTTTCCTTCTTATCCTTTGCAACTCAATCTTGCAAAACCTGCTTTGTGTCTGCAAAAAGACAACGATATTTGGCAGCATGAGCAATGTGGAACAAGGGGTGCATGACAGTGAGACCCAATATCCCTGGAACAAATAATTCCTTTACAACAATGTAGGTGAGTTAAACATTTAAGGTAGTGCTTGTGAATGATTAAATGCGAAAGATGGACAGCAAAAATACTAGGGGTATACAATGACCACAAGGATTGGTTAACAACTTGAGATAGCATGTCAAGAAACAATCCACCTTGGTTGAAGCACTTCAGCTGGGATCTAAGGCCATGTCCATTTGGGTAGGGAAACTCTCCCACATCCAACTGCATTCACCAATAGGAATTCAAAAAGCATTTGACAAAAGTGGATGAAATTTGCAGACATAGCCCATTGAGAGAGGATAATGCCTGCCAAATTGTATTCAAATAGATCTGTTTGTGTTGATACCTCTAATATGTGTTCCTCCCCTCCAAAAAGGAACCATTTATAACTTGTATTATTTTATGGAGTAACTGAATGCAATTTGCCCCTTTGGGAGAAAGGAATCCTGCCAAATTTTAGAAGGAGGGTCTCATGGGGAACATGCACCAAAAATGTATATAAAATCCCTCCTGAGAGTGAAAGCACATCATTGCGTCAATGGGAGAGGGAGCTTGCTACATTGATTTCAGGGCATTTGGTGGCAAGAACTCCCTGAGCTAGCCACCCATAGCCACCTGAAATTCTGTTTTTAAACCAACAAACAAAGCAGTTAGCTTCCCCCTTTGCAGTCGTGATTATACTGATGGGCTGGAGTTGACAACAGGCTCTAGTTGCAGTGTTACAGCTGAGTTTAAATAAAATGGATCATATTAAACCCAAACATTCCTATCTTAATACGTAGACCAACATAATCTTCATGGTTTTATCAATACTGTGCTAAAGTTCCTTCTAACTTCCATGGCACTCTCAGAGAACCCACCCTATCTTCCTTCCAATCCTTCTTCGATGCTTTCTTCCGCCTCTTCCCTGAAGCACATCAGTGGAAATGCTGTTGTTACAGTCGGGTGAATACCACACAAAAATCTCTCTGAGAAGTGCCTTGAATTTTAAAATGAGTTTCCTTCGGCTGAACTCCCATCAACCTCTTAGTTTCACTTTCTCCAAACTTCAAAGTGATGGAATGTTAGTTGCATGAATGCTTCCAGAAAGCAAAAGTTAAGCTTGGTGGGAGGTGGGGGGAAGGGAACAGAATATTTTACCTTTCCATACTTTTGGACAGTCTGTGTTTTGATTTTATTGCAAATTGTTTTAAAGAAATACATCAGGGGGCTTAGTTGCTGTAGAAATAAACAGACACACACTACTTTATTCACTCTCATATCAATCTATCATTCAATCATTGCCATTACTGGATTTTATTGATCCCACTTGTTACAAGAACTTGAAATTCTTCTCCAGGACTGTTGGAAACCTGATTCTTATTGACTGGCAGAAATAGAATCAGGACAGACAAAAGGAAGTTGCATATCCATATAGTAAATAATTAACTAATGGAAGCCATGGGTTTATTGTTTATTTCTCTCTTTTTTAATCTAAAGAATTTATACCACCTACCAATAAAAAATATTGTGGTGGTGCACAAAAAAGGGATGCAAAATACACAATACTAGTTAAAATGATAAAAATGCACTACATCCATCTGTAAAACTGCACCGGGGATGTGATAGTTACCAGCTTAGACAGCTTGAAAGCAATTTAGACAAAGTAATGGAAGATAGGTCTACTACCAACTCATTCTCTTAAAACTGAAATGTAAGCACATGGGTAGGCAAACTAGGGCCCGGGGGCCGGATCCAGCCCAATCGCCTTCTAAATCCGGCCTGCGGACAGTCTGGGAATCAGCGTGTTTTTACATGAGTAGAATGTGTGCTTTTATTTAAAATGCACCTCTGGGTTATTTCCGGGGCATAGGAATTCATTTATTTTTTTCCTTTTCAAAATATAGTCCGGCCCCCCACAAGGTCTGAGGGACAGTGGACCGTCCCCCTGCTGAAAAAGTTTGCTGACCCCTGTGTAAGCACCATGCTCAGAGGCAGTGTGTATTTGGATACTAGATGTTAGTGAAAAACATTGCCTCCCTTTCTGGACTCTGAGATCTTAGATCTAGACCTTCGCTTTGGGCTGGCAGAGAACAGATTCTTGGCCCTCTTCTATGCAGTTCCACTTGGAATCATATGAAGAGCACCAGCAATCCTTCCTAGGATAAATCCCGGAAAGAAATGAGTGTGAATACACCCAGAGGGACTCTGTCTCTAATCCAGAATTCTTTATGTGCTTCGATATGTTTCAGGGCAACAAAGCATGAACCACTGGCCTGACTATTCCTCCTCCTTTCCTCATCGTAGGGTTTTGCAACATCTTTCAGATCTTCATCCCTTTGAAATATAGACCTTCCAATGTTTATGGTCTCAGGGGAACTCTTTGATAGAAACACCCCTTTGTGTAATCATTTTACTGCAAATATTTCACCCACTGCATATTACCTGTCATTGGGGGTAGATCTGATTTACACCCTGTCAGAAGGGCAAAATAATAAGGTGTCTAGGAATGCCCTCTTGCCCCCCCCCCAAAAAACCCCCAGCACATGTTGCTACTTAACAAGCTGAAAACATGAAGTACAGTCAGATGAGTTCATATCCCAACCTGAACTGGCTTTCTCCCAAGCTGTGAGCTTAAAACACCCCTAAGACCATTAATTTTACTGAGTAGTTATTGGGGCTAAGGGAAAAATAGTAAAGTTTGTGTGATGTAGCAAATGACCATGGCAAAGAGTTCTAGAGACGAACACATTTGTTGTGGCATGTGCTTTAATGGGCTAGAATCTAGATTTTCAAATGCATATATGACATGACAAATTTTATAATATACATGGGAATGAAGTGGGGGGTGGGGTGAGAGAGTCGACAGTGATGCAAAAAGTCCATGAACTGAAAAGTGTAGTAGTAATTCAGAGACATTTATTCACCAAGCCCAATTTATACAAGACTGACCTGGTTGCAACACCAGATGCTGATGATGATACAATAACTTATTTGCCAATTTAGCTGGTGAAGATTACAGGTCTGGCACCTGAGGCAGATGTTGATGAGCAACTGCCAAGGCCCACACACCAACAAGGGGTGCATTGTGAGTCCCTGTACCTCTTCTATATGTCTGCTACCTGTTCTCTCCAATGGTATGAAGAGTGACAAGCTGGAGGAGCACTTGCCTCTCTCTCCTTCTGGGTGATGTGGTACAGATCGAGTCCAGGGTGAGAGGTGCAATTGAATGGGTTGTAGTGCTAGCAGCAAGGCGCTTGGCTCAGCGTGGGAGGGGGAGGCTCACAAAACCTGAAGCCAGCATGGGACAATTATTTTCTGTAGAAGAAAAGACAACGCCAGTCTTGAGTGAGTTGAAGCTCAATAGAATCACATTTGCTTACAAATTCTAGTTCAGTGGTACTCAAACCAGAAAGCATTTATGATTCATGAAACTGCTGAAGGTTGGAAGCTTTATTCTTAAAGGAAAGAATAGACACACAGGCATCCTCTTGGCCCTTGTGGTACTTTCTTATTGAACTCAGCATGAAAGGGAGAAATGTGCTAAGAGGAAGGCATGCTTAGCAAACCCTCACCATGATCAACTCCTGCCTCGAAACCTATGTCCCCACTGTGGAAGGACGTGTGGATCCAGAATTGGTCTCCACAGTCACTTGCGGACTCACTGTTAAAACCATATTTGTGGAAGACAATCTTACTCAACTATGAGTGATCGCCAAAGAAGAAGACAACTTTCTAATATTGTGAGCATTTTGGAAAGATTAGGTCCCCTTGATTCTCCCTTTCAACTTCCTTTTGACCAGTCCTCAGATTTGACAGTATTGTGATCACTGATCCCAATCAGCTCAAAAACACTTACATCTTGCACCATATCCTGGGCACCACTTAATATTAAGTCCAGAACCAGCACCCCTCTGGTGGGTTCCATGGCCACCTGTTCTAGGGCACAGTCATTTAGAGTATCTAGAAATGTTACCTCTTTGTCATGACTGGAACACCAAGTCACCCAGTCTCTGTGCAGAATGCTGAACTCACCATTTTTCTTACAGGTTATTTGTTTAGAGGACTGCGTCACAAACTTAAGAGTAGAGCAAATCCAAAGGATTGCTGCTGTTTAGTTTGTGTATTGTTTCGGAAAGTGAAAATTAGGTTGGTTCATATTGAAATGCGAACTGAAACGAACTTCTCTCTTATGCCTGGAGCCTGAACGTACTTAGAAGTTCCATGAAGAACTTTTCTGCACAATGTTGGATGGCCAGAGGTAGAACGGGGTGTGTGGACACATGTAGGGATGTTGGGGGTGGTACATGAACTTCCACAAGCTTCTTGTATTGACACTAATTGCACTAATATTGTGGCTTCCAAGTATTTCAACAAAACTGAGGCATCACCTATATGTTATGTGTTTGCAAACTAAATAAAACATGGCCTGCCTCTTGGAACTCTGGTTTCCCTGGTGACTGCAGAAATTGCCATTGCAATGCATGGGGACAGCCTTGAAGACAAATACTGTGGAAGGGGGATTCCCCCTCCCCACAATTTCTCTACTATCTGCGATGTCTCAGAAAGATTACTGGGATTACCTTAGGGCAACACCAATCACCTCAACAAGCCCCATATTTGCTTCATAATCACCTGACCATTAAAAGAGCTGACAAGTGCAGGTGTATCTAGCTTGACCTTTCTGCAGTGCTTCAAGGAAAGTTTTGTGATGCTCGAGTGGCTACAGGGTATTTAAATGTGCAGCTCTTTCTGCAAGGGGCCAGGCTACAAATGCACTTCACCTGGTCAGCAAATGTTCTTCTCTTTTCTTCCTCAGTAATGTTCCACACTATAGCAGGCACTAACTGACTGCATAGTGTGCACACACAGGGAGGGGTGAGTGTTTTCAAAAAGGAGACGATGACAATCGCCGTAACACAGAGATTCCACTATTGTTGTTTATGTCTGGACCCTCCGCTCTCCATCCTATCTGCTTGATCCACGACCAATAACGCTGTTACCATGGCGATGAGACGGAAATAAATCATTTCCAGAAATTAAGATGGAGTGCATTGTGTGGTGGCTTCTGCTAATCTTGAGGCTCTCTTCAAGGAAGAGTCTGAGCTTTATCCTCAGCCGTTGTATACAGTGTGTGTGTGTGTGTGTGTGTGTGAGAGAGAGAGAGAGAGAGAGAGAACAACTTGAGCGCAGAGGCATGCTGAGGTTCAAGCATAGGACTACATTATGCAGCACACTCAAATGTTCTTAAAAAGGTAGAGAGGATCCTTTTAAGACTAATACTGAGTCTTAAATCCCACAGGGTAGGTATTCAAAAAGATGTCCAGTACTTGGGATCTCATAATAGATACTATACTGCCGATAGGATGGAAAGCAACTTCAGAAGTAACCCTGTTGTGGAGGAACAGGAAGTCTAAGAGTTGTGTGCTTCCTGTTCCCATTTCATTTGAAATTGATTTCCCACAGTTCCTCCCATTCCAAGACTGCAAGTTGTTCCTGTGTTAGGAACTTGCATATCAGGGTATAGCTCAGTGGCAAAGCACATGCTTTGTGTACAAAAGGTCCCGTGTTCAAGCCCTGGCATCTCCAGGTAGGACTGAGAGACTCTGGCATGAACTTTGGAGTGCAGACAATATTAAGCTAGATTGGCTAAAGGTAGGTCTTAGCATTGGGCAGCTTCCTAGAGTCAATTCAATCTAACAGAGAGGAAGATGTTCATTTTGATGAGGGAAAACCTGAAGTGAGGTGCTTGCACCTCTTCCTCCTGCATTCCAAACCAGCAATGCAATGCTGGAACACCTGCCAACAGTACATATTTCATTGATATAAACACTTCCTAGGTAACAAAATTTCACAGCTTCAGTGGTGCACAGTGAGTTTTCAAAGTCTGAAAAGTTTATTATTTGTGAGGAGAAGAAGCAAAATGGTGCTAAATGTACAAGCACATACCTGGGAGCTTTGGATAAGCATGCTTTTAACTTCACATGTTAAGCATTTTTCAGCAAATCCTATGAAATGCTTCATTTGTTTAACTAAAGGTAGTTCCGGAGTCATGCATACATTCCAATCCGGTGCACCTAAAAGCTTGCACTTTATTTCTCTGCTCATGGACTTTATTGTAAACTGAGGTATGGTTGCTAACATCTGTGTGTTGTGACTCTGTTATCAATTAGTTGTGGATATTGTCATTTGTTATAGATTCATTGTTAGCCATCCTTTTAAGATAGGTAGGAATCTACAGTTGCACATTTTTGTGGCCAGCACATCTGACACTACCAAAGTACACGAAGCAGAAACATAAGGACTACCCACTTTGGATTGGAACAAAGTGTCAGCCAGCACAGCATTCAGTTTCCGAAGTGGCTGGGTGGGGGCCTTTGGGAAACTCAAAAGCAGCAAATGAAGTAACAGGCCTCCATAGCACCTGATACCCAAAGGTATCTTTTGAAAGTGGGAGTTCCACTGAGTTACCATTGCAAATGTTCATTGATAAACAAACCAACTCCACTGTGCCAATGCCTGTGTTGACTCCTTGTTGTCCAAGTGGTACATCAGTGCAGCTGGCACAGTCCAAAAGAGAAATTGTAGCATAGAGCTCCCACACTAGTTGATCCTCCTTAGTTAATGTAGGTCTGGTTAGCATTGTAGAGTTACATCACTCTAATTGCCAGTACCAGTAATATAGAGATGGTACCACAAAAATCCAGGGGAAGAGTGATGCCCCTATCTCCAGCCATAGAACATGGTGGGCAAAGGTGTAGTACAGTGGACGCTTGGGTTGCGAACGTGATCCATGTGGGAAGCACGTTTGCAACCTGCCACATTCGCAACCCACAGCGCCGCGTCTGTGCGGGTCGCAATTCGGCGCTTCTGCACATGCACAGGCGCTGAAACCCAGAAGTAACCTGTTTCAGTACTTCCGGGTTCGGTGCAGTGCGCAACCCAAAACCGTGCAACCCGAAGCGTCTGTAACCCAAGGTCTGACTGTATGCCGTTTGGTACTGGATTTTTTGTGCAGATGTGGGGAATCTTTGGCCCTCCAGATGTTGCTGAACTACAACTGCTATCATCCCTGGCCACTGCTCATGCCTGCTGATGGGAATTGTAGTTTAGCACAGCTGGGGGGCAAAGGTTCCCCACACCTGCCCTACAACATTCAGTGAAGGTTTTTGACCCTTGGATTGTGTGTCCATGGGATCTTTCATGCCAAATAGCAGCTGAGATGAGGAGTGATTGCATCTGGATCCCAGCCCAGAAGGAAGAGGTTAACCCCATCCCTGTACAGCAGGGATGAAGAATCTGGATGCTGCAGATGTTGTTGGGAAACAATTCCCATCATCCCTGACCCTTGGACCATGCTGGCTGACACTGATGAGGACAACAGCATCTCGAGGACCACATGTTCCCCATCCCTTCTGTACACAATGATCTTGCCCCTGATTTTGTCCCCCAGAGGTTGACATTTACACATTCAAAAAAATTCAGGCAACTTCATGCGGCACATATAATGTCACATGTAGTCTGGCTGCTAGAAACAACCAGATGAACCAGAAAGTTGACCCTCATCTCATTCCTTTTGTATTGATGAAGCCAGCCAGTGACATAAACTAAATGCTTGTGACAAAGCCAAGTACTGTTTATTTAGGAGGAGGGAAAGCAGAATTCTCCATCCATGTACGGTTTTGTGAGCTCTCACAGCTGACTGCACATTCACAGCAATTCCAGGGCCTATGTTGAAGAATAATAATAAATCAATATAAAAAGACTCCCCTTGTACCACAGGGATCTCACAGTTCATTGATGTACATGTACTTCTGCTCCCAATCAGCCTGTCCTTTGCCCAAGATGAAGATTTCTCTGGAGGGAAAAGGTTCCCACCCCCAACAAGATGTAAATTCTCCTGCGGATTTCTGTGTGGCAGCAGCAAATTCTTTTATTGCTCTTTAAGCTCAATTTTCCATGGTCAGTTTTCCTAGGAGACTACTTTCACATGAGTTTCCTGGCTGCCTGCAAAAGAGCAAGATAAATACTAAACCAGAAAGTTAAAATGAGTCGTTTCAGCCAAATGGGGGACAATTCCGTTTCCAGCATAAACTGGGGGTTCACAACTGGTCAGAAGGCATAGAAAAAGAGTGAGACAGAAGACTGTAGGAGGAAAAATATTACTAAAATGTATTCCCTTACATGGCTGATAATATTTTTAGTCCTAAACAAATAATATATGGTTTTCTCAAAAGTGTTCATTGCACTGGACCTCACATGTGCCTGCTGTTAAGAACAATCATTTGGTGAGTATGGGAGACAGGACTTACTTGGAATTCCCTTCCAATATCATCATCATCATCATCATCATCATCATCATTGCTTTCTTAACCACCCTTCACCATGAGCCTCTAGGTTAAGTTAAAACAACTTAAAACATGTCAAAATCAGTTAGACTTATAATCAGTCCTTACAGCGCAGCCTTTTAAGCAAGACTTGAAAAGTTGCCTGTTCAACTACTGTAGCAGTAGTGGGGTTCTTTTGGCCAAAATTGTTGAGCTTTTTTATTAGTTTTGCCCAAAGTTGTGACGCTTTCTTTGCAAGATCTCTTTTCTGAGCCATGTTGAAGGAAATTCACCAAAATCTACACTTCTGACATGGGTTGCCGTACGTCCGAATTTTCCCAGACATTTAAGCGATTCCCACATGGACACCGTTTCTGGTGGCCTGATCTCGGTGATGTCCGGGAAATTCCAGACGTATGGCAACCCTAACCAGTGGAGCCAATCTGTTGCTCCTGCTGGTGTATTTGCACCAGGCTGCCCTTGCTGTCACCTCACTCTTCTTCCTCTCCACCCCTGTATGTCACAGCGACTCACCAGAGGAGGGTCGGCTGAGTGGTGCATTCACTGCTAGGAGTGTAAATGGCTTCTGTGATTCAGAACAGCACTTATAGTAATTACACTCCTTTCTCAGGTGCCTAATGCATTATTCCTTTGAGTGTGCTTCCTTCTTGGGGCATGGCCCATAAAAAGCAGTTTGTAAATATGTTGAATAAACAAATAAATTACCACAGGATGAAGAAAAGTTTCCCAGTTTGGGATCACTTAAGTATGAAGGGGGCCTCAGATGACAAAAGGCCTCAGCCCCAGTGACAAAACATCAAGCCCAGGTAACAAGTGAGTTTTGTAGCTGAGTGACTAGAAGGTAACAACCACCCATTTAATTAATTAGCCGAACAACCAGCCAACCAATGAATCATATTATTGGAAGAAAGCTAAATCCAAGGAGCTAAATCCTGTAAAAAAAACTTATAGCTCAGGCATTGAATCTTATGAGGGATGAGGTTGTAGATACTTAGACTGCATTGACATGACAGTTTCCTTGATATTTCCCTAACTATTCCCGCCTGATATTTGAACTTTCACACAATGTAAAAGCCACTTTCAGAAATTCAATTGAAGTTTAGTGCTCATTTCTGTGTTCATTACTTCCAGAAGAAATCAGTTTGCAATCCCATTAACCCAGAAAATCACGGAAGTGATGAAATTTGGGGCATTATATCGGCATGCAATTATTTCCTGCTGTTTTCATGGGTGAATCATGGGTTAAAGGAAGCACACATGTGTGGTAAGTGTCAGGGAGCAGTGTGGTCCAATGATGTTGGTTGTTGTGTCCCGCCACACCCACTGGTGTGAATGAAATTGTATGCGGCATGCTGGCATATTGGTAAAAAGGAAGAACAGAGAGCCACAGTTCAATAATGTAATAGATAGTGTGGTGTAAAAGGAACGTTAAGAAATGGGGCAGAAGCACTCACATTATAATCAGGAAACCTGACACAATATTCAAACCACGCTTGAATCTACCCTTAATTTTCACCTGTAGCCTAGCAGTTTTGAGGGGACCTCAGTAGATCAAAACTAGAAACCTAGATTTAATCTCATTTTTTGAGAGCATGTTAAAACACACACACATTCAGTCCTAATATATAGTTCCAAACAGAAGTCTTAGATCTACCAACAAGCAGAGATAACAAATATGTTTTTAAAACATATTCAAGAAATCCGCTCCTTGATTCCACCAGAGGGCACCTTCCCTGTGGGATTCTCATATAGCAGCGTCAAACTAGCTGTCATACTGAAAAGGATTATGTTGTTTTCCTAAGCTGCTCTTCAGCCTAACCCAGTAGAAATGGTAGCAGAACAGAGTGGCCACTTATGCATCACTCCCCACCCCCCAGAAGGAAAGGAAATGCATTACCAAAAGGGGGGGATTTGCATAAGCAAATTTAGAAATAATTACTATAATTATGATAATTCAAATAGAAATACAATGCACCTCATCATAGCAGGGAAGACAGTGAGCTGCCAGGGATGGGGGCAGGGGTGGGGAATGATTTAGGCATCATTTGAAGCCAACTCTATCAAACTTGCAATTTCTGTAACAGCTACCCTTTGAAATACACCCTTCTTCGAATTTTGCCATGCAGTTCGCCAACCAGTGCTTACAAAAATGCATATATCAGGGGAAAGCATCCACAAAAATGAACATATTGGCCTAAAGAACAAACAAAATGCATTCTGCATTCTGCAAACCAATGTACA